ATTACTCCGTGGAATCCAACTCAAACACAGGCGCTCAGAGGGAAGATTGACGACTCTCGCGAGGCAGTTCAACTGATGGATTGAGTTAGTGAAAACACTTGGTTTGTCTCTCATTTTGTTCAGTTTCTACTTGAACGATCAATAAGTCATACCGCGTAAATTGTCTGAACAGTTATGATAAAACCTTTTATATTAGGTCTTGGATGAATTATCTTGCACTACTGTTGTTCCTCTTAAAGAAACATTGTTAATCCAAATATTCGAAGTATTATAACAAAACCATTAGTAAAGGTTGTAAGAGTATCATTTTATCGGGCAATAAAAAAAGAGGAAATATAGAACGAATGGCAATTAGATATTTAGCTAGAAGATTTTGTTTTCCAAAATTGAACTCCCATTAGTTTTTTTTTAAGGATATCAATATAAGTTTAACTAGGCCGTCAACTTTTAAGTAATTATCGTCAACACTAAAAATGTTTTATATTTGTTCTCTTAATGTTTTTGTTCCGTAGACATCTAGACAAAGTAAAATGGGAGAGAGAAAGAGGGAGAATATACAAAATGAACACACGAGACACGAGGACACACACGAGACACGAGGACACACACGAGACACGAGGACACACACGAGACACAAGGACACACACGAGACACACAAGGACACACACGAGACACGAGGACACACACGAGACACGAGGACACACACGAGACACGAGGACACACACGAGACACGAGGACACACGAGACACGAGACACACACGACACACACACACGAGACACGGAGGACACACACGAGACACGAGGACACACGAGACACGAGGACACACACGAGACACGAGGACACACACGAGACACGAGGACACACACGAGACACGAGGACACACGAGACACGAGGACACACGACACGAGGACACGAGGACACACGAGACACGAGGACACACACGAGACACACACACGAGACACGAGGACACACACACGAGACACGAGGACACACACGAGACACGAGGACACACACGAGACACGAGGACACACACGAGACACGAGGACACACACGAGACACGAGGACACACACGAGACACGAGGACACACACGAGACACGAGACACGATGAGACACACACACACGAGACACGAGGACACACACGAGACACGAGGACACACACACGAGACACGAGGGACACACACGAGACACGAGGACACACACACGAGACACGAGGACACACACGAGACGAGACACACGAGACACGAGGACACACACGAGACACGAGGACACACACGAGACACGAGGACACACACGAGACACGAGGACACACACGAGACACGAGGACACACACGAGACACGACACACACACACGAGACACGAGGACACACGAGGAGGACACACACACGAGACACGAGGACACACACGAGACACGAGGGACACACACACGAGACACGAGGACACACACGAGACACGAGGACACACACGAGACACGAGGACACGAGACACGAGGACACACACGAGACACGAGGACACACACGAGACACGAGGACACCACGAGACACGAGGACACACACGAGACACGAGGACACACACGAGACACGAGGACACACACGAGACACGAGGACACACACGAGACGCGAGGACACACGCGAGACACGAGGACACACACGAGACACGAGGACACGAGACACGAGGACACACGAGACACGAGGACACACACGAGACACGAGGACACACACGAGACACGAGGACACACACGAGACACGAGGACACACGCTACTCTTAGTGTTTACATACAACTCCTCACAAGAAGAAGACGACACACGCAGTTGTTACATAAAGCTGATGGCCACGTCAAGGCTCACACCTCCTCCTGGTGAACACTTGAGGCGAGGAGATGGGATGACAGAAGAGGAAGAATGGAAGAGAGATGAAAGACAGACAGAGACGGAATAGATGAGAGATGTGGGAGAGTGTTAAATGAGGGATGAGGGACAGTGGAGGAGAACAAATGGAGAGTGGAAAGGAAGAGGAATTCAATAAAATATTATATAGTGTTGCTCACCAGGATGACTCTCGACCTGAAGGTAATTTAAATGCCACAAACCTGTGAATTTTATGCATAATTAAAGCCATTCAGCGGCTATGAGTCACATGTCGACGTACACAAGCGTCCGAGAATAATTTATACTATTAACTTACAGTAAATTACATTCCAGCCTCCAGCATATGTTACTCTATATGACAAATAACAAAACATTTCCTTTTTCTCTTAAACTTTACATTATATTCAGGTAAAGCGACTCTCACTCACCTGTACCACATATAAACAGTAAGGCAGTGATTATGGTATTTCATTGTTCTGTTAGTGTTAATCCTAACCTCTTGTGTCATACATTTAACATATGATCTGTGGACAAAATAACCTATTGTCCATATGTCTGATAAGTAGTACTTCTGTTGGACAACACCTTGAATCCTTGGTATTTGATTGTTCTATTTGTCCAGGGTTTAATATCCGTTAACCTGTGGTATGTTTGGACAAGTTTTAGGCATATTGGGACACGTTTTCGGCATTTTCTAGGCATATAATGGGCATTTTCAACAAAAGTCGTAAGCATATTGCGCGCTTTGTAGTGGGCATGTCGCTTACTTATTATACACAGGGAAAGAACACGTTGTACACATGCCCTAAACACGGTGGCATATTATTGTCGTGTTGTGGGCATTAGCATGGTTAACACTATTTATGCAGAAAAGTGAGCAATTAGTTACGTCAGGCCTGTTGTTTTCATTGTGAATTTACCTGTTTTGATTTCTATGGTGAATATAAATGGGATACGTGTTTGTGTCCTTTTTAATTAGCTTCGTCCAAAACCAGAGAGATTTTCCAGTCTGTATTGTCTGCATGTATGAATGTATGTATATGTTTGTATAATATATGCATGTAAACCTAAGTACATGTCTATGTCAATTATATACGCTACATATATGCGTGTATCATTGTATATGTATAGCCATCTACGTATATTTCCAAATTTGTATTTATCTATGATCCGTATACTTTTTATGTATGTATGTATGTATGTATGTATGTATGTATGTATGTATGTATTGTTACGACCGTGTCGTATTTTCTATTTTTTTTTATATAACATGCTTCCATGTTGTTCCATATTATTCCTGTAATGATGTGTTATATTTACTATTATATAATCTAGTCACCTTACCCTGTGCTGTTAAGGTTTTAACTGTTATTATTTGTTCAAGCCCATCTTATTTCTTCATTTAGTATTGTAACAAGCATTCTTTTCCTCTAACGACCATCTGCATCGTTAAACGACCCACCGGCGGGTTTTTGACGGGAATTGGCCCTATATATAGTGGTCCACCAACTGACGGATTCCAGTCCTCCTTGTCATTCAGTTCACGTTCTTTTGAGTGACACTCGTCACCTGTTACTTATACTTCATTTTATTTGTGTTGTTCCTGTCGCCACCAATGTGGTATATCTGTGAGTACCTATGTATGTCTCTTATGTGTCCATCAGTATTTGCTTAGTTACATTTAAGTAATTAAGTGTTGTTTCACGATAGTTAATTTCAGTGATAGTTTTTATATGTTTATGCAGTGTTAACGTAATCCAATGCTTTATTTTTATTCTTTTGATGTTTCGATGTTTAGTATCATTTGTGTTTTAAAAGTTTCGATAGTGAATCAATTTGTTGTGACAGCCTACGAGGCTCTTTATTGTGTTAATATTTAATTTAATTAAATTCTTAAAGGTTTACTTTATTTATCTTTATTCCTTTTTAATTAGCTTCACTCACTTTTTTGTTTGGTTACGCCTAGAGCCTGGTTATTAAAGTAAACTAAGAGACGGCGTAACAGTATTTATGTATGTATGTATGTCTGGTTATTTTTCATGTTATTGATACTCTTGTAAGGGTAAGTGGAACGTCAGGCTATAGTGAATGTTCGTACTGGCGCCATACTAAAAATAAACCTCTTAGCGAATAAGAAATCCTGCAGTGTTTATGAAGCCAGACGGCAGATGTAGCACAATACTGGCGGATTACACGACCACACACCCATACTAGTGTTATGCCTACACCCACGCCTCTACCTGCACCCACGCCTCTACCTACACCCACGCCTCTACCTACACCCACGCCTCTACCTACACCCACGCCTCTACCTACATCCAGGCCTCTACCTACACCCACGCCTCTACCTACACCCACGCCTCTACCTACATCCAGGCCTCTACCTACACCCACGCCTTTTCTGGCAAAAGGTAGTAGAATGTTCGTCTGGCGTAGCTTCCTAAAACCTGTTATTGTACGGTAGGCGAAAACAATTTACGCTGTTGATTGCCTGCGTTGGCATTAATTTCAAGTCATTGTTATAGGCATAATCAAAAGGGTGATGATGATGACGACTGTGTTTATAAATATCCCTCTTCTCTGTCTAGCCATTTGTCTCTTCTCGGTGTACTGTAAACAAGGCTACACCCGCTCCTCACAGCAACTCTTGCATTGTCGTATAAACTCGTGTGTTCTCTTGCAACGTGTTATGTGTTGCTTCACAAAATGTGTATAGTGACAAAAATTACCCACTAAGAGCAGAAAGAATAATATATGTGCGAACTCGATGAATAATTAATTTTAGTAATTACACATAAATCTAATATGAATATTTTATAATTCCGCTTTTTTTTGTCTCGCTTTAATTATTCATCGCTAAGTCTCTCTCTCTCTCTCCCTCTCCAACCATTCCCTCCTTCCTCTACTTTCGACATAACTTCGCCATCACCCCTTGAGTGTCTGCAAACAGAAACTTGTTCACTTCAATAAACTCTTCTACTTGTCTTTGCCCCTATCATTTTACTCCCTCTCTCCCTTTTCGCTCTCTCCCTCCAATTCTTCGCCCTCTTACCCTCCCTCCCTTCTCTCCCTTTCCCTTCCATCCTATCCACCCTTCTTCCCTCTCTGCTCATCTCTCTCCCTCACAACTCACCGATTACTGTGAGGTTGACGACGGTGTTGTGGGTAGGGGAGGTGAGGAAGTCCACTCGACAGGTGTAGATGCCCTGATCCTTGGCCAGCACAGGGTTGAGGATGAGCCTGGCGGGGGAAGCAGACGTTTCGAAGGATCCCCTGCCACCCAGGACCTTGTCTGGCTGGAAAAGGCCACTCTCTCCCCGCGCGTCGTAACTGTGAGGAACAGAAAGAAAATATTTGGGTGGAACATATTCTGGTGAAGAGGTGAAGAGGCGACTATCACAAGGTGTTAATATCAAGCCAAAGAGTGTATAACAACAGTAAAGCATTATATTCTTAAAATATCAACGATAAATAAGGACGAAGATAAATAGTAACATTTAAAATAACAGAACAGAAGTGAGAAAAACTTATTGGAAAAATGTAATATGTTTTAAATAGTTTCCAAACCACTAGGTCGGAAATGAAGGATTCTGACTTAACTGTTTTATTAGAAAGACAAGAGAAAAACACTCACAATGAACAACAGGAGTTCCCCTATAAAGCAATAAATACAAATGAAGGGGAGGGAAAAGAGTAGCCCAAGACATCAACACACTGAGGAAGTCGCCGAACAAAATCGCCAGATAATAAGAAGGTAAATGAGAGACGTGGAGTGAATGTGGAAGCGGACATAGGCCACACAATACCCAACAATGGTCGACAGATTGAGCCAGCGAGTCTGTCTTTCCACAACCTGCACCAGTGAATTGCTGGAACTTGGCTGATGAGAGGCCATTGGAGGAATGAGAGAATGAAACGTGAGAGGAGAGAGAGAGAGAGAGAGAGAGAGAGAGAGAGAGAGGAGAGTGCGTATGAATTGAAAGGTGGTGGTGGAGGGAGTGGGGAGGGGGGGGTTTAAAGGAGAGAGTAGGGGAAAATAGAAAGTGGGGAAATTGAGTTGGAGAAAGATATACAAAAATGAAGATATAGATTCATGAAAAGAGGTGAACGATAAATATGTGATATAGAACAAATATAGACATAGGAAGGGAGAAAAAAGAAAAATATACATAGATACACAGACAGGGTAGACGGAAGCATACAAAGAGAAGGACAGAGAGAGGGAAATAGTCAGATTGAGCATGTAATTCAGCAGAGGGACTGAATAAGAAGAGTCTTATGGACAGCGTGAGAGAGAGATTTACAGAAACAATTTGCGCCAGGAAGAGACTTTCCTGGAACACTTTGTATTCGAGGTTTTCAACATCCTCGGTAAATGAAAGCTTTCCCAGCCACTATAAGTGAGACACTGCTTTAGTCAGGGCGTTCCCGAGCTCCTGTCTAGAGTTTGTGTATTCTGTGAATGATAAGTCGTTCTATATCCCACTTAAAAGTGCTCTCTTTAACTGTCTGAGTTTAATAATCAACGTCCTTTGTTGCATCCAAAAACTTTATTCCAGAAGCAAATTGCCTGGACGTTATCCTGTTCAGCGTTGATTAATTCCTTAAACAGAACATTTCAGAGACACACAAATATGTATTTAGTGTAATCTAAGAACTATTAAGTTCGAGAGCCATTTCGTTCCATAATATCTATGTGAACATGAGTGTTCTTCACGAGATATTATTCTTTATAACTAACGAGTATATCGATACAAATTTATATTGTTTTCAAGAATAATCATTAGTAATCGCAGCGTTTTATTCTTCGTTTCATTTCCAACTGTTTGATTGTCAGGGAATATGCGATGAGTAACACAAACAACTAAGATTTTCTAGGATGTTATCTGTCAGGTTTTTCAACCTCGACACCGAGTAGCATCTAGATAATTAACGATATCTAACAAATTATCTTCAGAACAATCCTTGGTAGAATACTTCAAACAAACAAGACAAAAAAGTTTAGAATACCAATTAATCATCGATTTTAAAAACGTTTTCGAGAATTTTTCCTTCTGTATCACACGTACACCACATACAGTACACCGTAATCGAAGCTAACACTCTTTCACCTTCACTATTCTAACCACCCTTCTCCATGATTAATGTATTTCTATATACCCCAACCTAACTTAACCTCACCTGTTCCATAATTCAGCCCAGCTTCAGAGGATAAAAGAAGGGAGATATTTGTACGCAACATTCCAGCCACATTGCTCCTACGTTCTTTGTCCTGCGTTACACACAAGCCACGTCTTTGATCTATATCCCATGACTTGGTGCACCAGTTAAGTGGCAAATCGTCGACGGTGGAACAGGAAGCCCAGAGACCTGACTTAACCCTTGCTCAGTCGTGGCGGTGATGACTTCTGAAGAATATTTTACCATAGTAATAAACACGATCTAGTTCGCTGATCATTGTGAATAGAGTTTGGAATCATTTGGTTCACTTTTGTTTGAGGGATTTTTGCTTCTGTCATGGATTGTGTTGTGGGATTTTGTTGTGGAGTATTTATTGTATCGAGGGATTTTATGTTGTGGCATATGATAAGAAAATACTTTGAGTTTATAATAATGACATGTGGGTTTTGTATATCATTATTCCGTGTGATCCACCATTGATGAAAAGTTATCAACTGGTTTATATATTGAGGTATTAGGGGTCGACTTAACACTACCACCTCTGAAAAACTTCCCATACAATATCACCTTCATAAAATAAACTATAGTGTCTCTTGTACAATACCGCTTTCTTGACAATCCCACTTTATCCACTACATCTTCAATACAACACCTCCACAACACCACCTCCACAACACCACCTCCACAACACCACCTACATAAGAGCACTAGAAGCATTACCATAAACTTACTCCACAGTTCCTGGTCCAGTACTTTACCTCCTTAAGACCCAAGTTTGCCACATTAATCCACTCGTTAATCCACAAGAACAGCTGTTGGCAATGACAACCAGGTAGTGCAGTGGTGATGGTTCATGCAGTTATGACTTTACCACAAGCCAAAAGAGGCACTTAAGACACACTTGGATAACATTTGAGGCTCTTAGCAAGAAAAGTATAAATAATGTACAAAAACATTTCTAGGTAATTTAATTAGAGAAAACATCAGGTAATAAAAAGAAGTTAGTTGCATTTTGTGAAGTAGGAAAGTAAGTTATGCATTCGTAGGACAAGAATCTCTCTTTTTGTAAATCGAACACTCATATTAGCTCCTAGTCGATAATAATAATAAAGGTTATTTATTTCTTTTACAACGCGACAGAAGACAACATTCAGCTTTAATACGTCAACAAACACCACTGCCTAGTACCATCACCATTACCTAGTACCATCAACACTACCTAGTACCATCAGCACCAAACACCACTACACCAGTATCATCAGCACTACCTAGTACCATCAGCACCAAACACCACTACACCAGTATCATCAGCACTACCTAGTACCATCAGCACCAAACACCACTACACCAGTACCATCAGCACCAAACACCACTACACCAGTACCATCAGCACCAAACACCACTACACCAGTACCATCAGCACCAAACACCACTACACCAGTACCATCAGCACCAAACACCACTACACCAGTATCATCAGCACCAGGTAAAATTCTCCACACTCACAAACATGTTTTCCCAGTACGTGAACCTGGCAGCCATTCACTGACTAAATGGGAGACATAAACCTATTGGTATTTGTACTGTAAGTTAATTATACCTATGTGTGTAAACTTTATTTTATTTTTACCGATTGAAACACAAGTCAGCGCGGGTTACTGATTGACTGATTACCGTGTAGGTGATGGTGGAGATTACGCAAGGATTAAATTAAAAGTTGGTTGGGTTAAGTGAGGTGAGGCTAAGTAAGGTTGGGTTAGGTTAATAACGATACTAATCATAGTACTAACTATAAATTAATGGCATTATTACTAACGTAACTATCCTAACGTAACCGAACTTAACCTTAAGTAACCTAATGTAGGCAGAGTTTGCAAATTTTAAAATGGCAAATGACGTCTTCAGTGCAGTAGAAAAATTTCCCCAGTCCATTTTTTTATTGGTATTTGACAGAAACGATATTTGCGTTTTTAGGCTTAGTTGCATGGTGTCCCTATTAATGTTTTACCATGAAATTAAACATAAAAAACAACATACGCTCACTATTCCAAACTGGTCGCTACAATAAAAAGTCCCCAAATTAGCTAAAACTAAACAAAACTGCCGCAGCCAACAACTGCTAGTTTGAGCAATGGTCACTTACATTTGACCCTCCGCCTGCAATCTATCATCCCAGCAACACAAAATATTGCTGCTTCTTTTTCAATTGCAATAAAAAAATGAATATTCGGGAATTGGAGCAATTCACGGGACGGAGTTCAACAACAGGCAAAAACTGGATCCGAAAATTATTTTTTGAATATGAGTTACGATAAAAATATAGAGGATGTAAACGAGCTGATGCTCTACTGGAGCTATTGTAGAGGTAGTGAACGAGCAGACCATTTTACAGGAGGTAATAGAACGGTTTGAGCATTTAATAATAATCTGACCGGATGGATGAACGCCACCTATTATATCTTGCCTTATATATTCATGCATTATAGCGTTTTCATGTTAATTCATATAAGTTTGTCATAATGTTTTGTACAATATTTACATTATAGTATAGTATTATGGTATTACTACTGCGGGTTTTCATTGAATAACTCTGAAGGTATAATTAATTATTTAACGAGACTAAGGTATCCTAATTGTCTAACAAATAAGTCATGTAAGAACTAACTCACTTTTACTATTGTTCATGTATAAAGATATTAACATCACACAAACCCTATTAAATCATTCTACAAATCATAAATAACATAAACTGCGTCAAATTAGCATCACAGTTTGTGTTAAATGTGCTTATGAATAGCAATTATAAATCCTTACTGATCCTGTAAGTAATGACCCTCCATGTGCCGTATCAGTAAGTGCTTCACACAAATGCTGCCGATGTTTAAATGTGAAATATTGCATCTGGTCAACGTCACCGGGAATTTAATACGAATAATGAATGACCATTAATTAATATTCCTATTATAATTGATTATTTTTCCATTGAATTGGAGAACAGTGAGTATGATAATATATATATTGATAATGCTTGGTTTTTTTTTTAGCCTTTTATGTTATCTTTTGGTCTAAGTTTTTATATGTACTCTTGCGTGTATGCTTGCTTGTCCTTTTCTAGGCCTTTCTTTGTTTTCTCTTATTTTTCTTCTCTC